AAATTTTTTTCCAGTAAGTTGCTAACTCAGGAACCAGGGAAGCTGGAAAGCTGAAATTTCAAGGGGAGTGTTTTCTGACAGTTCTGGCGGCCAGTCTTAATTTGTTTAGCTATAAGCATTTGCCGGTGCCGGTAGCAAAAAAAATTTGGGGAAATTATGCAAAAAACGCATCTTCGCACGGGCGGCCCGTGCGTTGGCCAATTATCCAGTTTTGTCAACCGACCAAATATTAGCTAAGATCAGTCAGTTGCATGTGTTGTTATCATTACTGGCACTTATGTGAGTGTGACGCCATATCTGCATATTGCTAAGTGCAGGCAGTGCTTGTACCACGGGAGAGAGGCAGCCAGTATTTTTCAGGACGTGCCTAATGTTGAGCACTGACGAGGAACAGAAAATTGTCATGGCAGCCAAAAATATCTGTAGAGGAATGTCATCGCGACGACGAACACTGTGTCACGTACAGCAGCGGATTACAAATTTAAGCGCTCAATACAGGTATGCTTTTTTGCACTGGTGTCGAATTCGACGGTCTCTGATTTGGTGCGGAGTGTTTACTTTTGGATTTCGGTGTGTTTCCTGTGAGAGAGGTACGTGGCGAAGTGCGGCGCATTCAGCGTTTTGTCAAGAGAAGAACCAGTATCAAAATGACAGTTGCAATTTGCACTAGTAGAGCGGGGGTGTTCTATGTTGTAGTGACAACCGATTAAACTATTACGTTTTATAATACTTGATGTCCTTTTAGGTCACTGAAAAAAGGACAAAAATTGGAAGGAGATACGTGTCACAGTACTTCATTGTTGAATTCATCGTTTGGACAAGATCAAAAAGCTTTGAAGGAAACGAGTGGGCACTCTCTTTCACAGCAACGAGAGGAATTGATGAAGTAAATTTATCTCTTCTAATTTCTGATTGAAAGGATTTTAATGTTTATCAACTTTTGATAATTTCAAGTGTATACTTTCTCACACGGTTCAGCTGTTCATCGCGCTCTCGCCATTGTTACAGTTAACGACTTCCCCTTTCCCGTCTCTCTCTCTCTCTCTCGCTCTCGTTGTCCTTTCCCATTCACGTATTTCCCTGTTCTGGTAAATGTGTCGTGCCATTAGCCGAGGACTTTCGCCATAGAAGCGATCGGACCCTTCGATGAACTGTTGTAGTAAATTGTTATTAACGTATCGAGAAACTCCCCACCAGTTTTTTCACTTGTCAGTTTTCTTCTGTTCAGTTCTGGGAAGAGAGAGTTATTGATTGCGTTGATAACAAGTGGTTGCTGTTAATTCATGCTACCACGATAGCTAGTTCTGAGTGCCTCCATTTTTCTGCGTTAGTGAAATGTGAGAGGCCTTAGTTTTGATTTTGATAATCCGATGTAATCTTCGAGTGTTCCCATCTTCCCCGTTTTGTTCAGCATTTCTTAGGTTATTGGGTAGTCATTTTTGTGTATCTTTTGCCTCTCACTAACCAGCTCAGTTTTTCTTAACGTACGCTTGACAGTGCCATTCACGCCCTTTTTATGCATTCGTTTAAGTAAGAGGCCCAAAGTGAAAAGACTGTGGTTAGCTGCATCAGTGGCGAGAAGAAACGCGGCGACGAAATAACAGTTCAAAATTCAGGGTTTTTTCGTATCGTTTTTCGAGCGCATTTGCCAGTGGTTTTTTAAAATATTTTGTCGAACTCTTGCTTTAAAAAATTTAGTCTCGGTAAAATACGATGCGCACCTGTATGCGTA